GATCTCAGCGTGCTCAAAGGTGGCTGGATCCAAACCTCCTGTTTGGAATCCGTCGCTCAGTTTAAGACTCAGTTGATCCCACTTGGGAGAAGGCGGCCCGAAAAGGTCCAGTTTGTAGGAAGGCTTCCTGCCGAAAAGCAAAGAACAAACAAGGTTTAGTCTCAGGGAGAAACAAGCGCTCAGCTAAACTCTATGTGATCTCAGCTTGGCTAGAGAACAAAAACTCAAAATGCTAAAACTCAGATTAGACTCAGCATAAACAAGGCTTGGCTAGAGTTCCCCAAACTGGCAAACACTCTGGCGCCGAATCAGTGGCAACCAGCAGCTTAAGAGCAGTCCGGTGATGAGGTAAACGCTTGCAGGTGCGTGAGAAGGCGAACCGGAGCCAGGCGCCTCCTGGTGGTGGAAGGAAGATACACAAAAGACAAGACAAACAGACGAACACAAAAACAGGGATCCTGAATGTAGTTTATGCATCTAAACGTAAAAACCTGGAAATGATTCAGACTGAAGTGGAGCCACAGCACCGGTTCTACAGCTGCCACATTTCTACGTCCTTATGTGAATGTTTCAGCTCAGCCATCATTTAAAACCAGCAGGTTTCCCAGTTTATTCCACGGATGCATAAACCCAGACAGAACAAAGCAAACCCTGGCTGTAGTTTGGACATTTCACTCCTTTCAAGGTCACAGAAAGATGTAGGATGTTGGTTAGGGATGGTTGGTTCATTAATTTAGTATTTCAGCCACTAGATGGCGCCACTTCCTACACATCAGACCTTTAATCTCCATTTACCTGCTAATCAACAGTTCAGCGAGGGGTCAAAGGTCGTCGCTGACTGCTACCAGATTTGTTGGGACTTTCAGTTCTAACTCTGAAAGATGTTCATGATCCATGATCTGTTTAACTCTTACTTTTCATCCTTTACATTTTTATTTTATATATATATATATATATATATATATATATATATATATATATATATATATATATATATATATATATATATATATACATTCTTTTTTTATGTTGATTTGGTTTCTTGATTGTTTTTGTTTATTTGTATCTGGGAGCTGGCAGCAGATGGATGAACAGACAGACAGACAGATAGATGGATGGATTTATTGATTTTTAGTTTCCTTCTTTTAATCAAATAAAAATTCCAAAATGTTCACAGAAAAAAATGAAATCTGACAAAAGTAATAAAATCTGATGGTTTTTTTTCCGACCATTTTTCATTAAATGATTTGAAACTATTTAAACAGACCTGGATTAAAACGACGGTTCCCTGAACTTCATCTTTAGTTCCCAGCCTTCAGAGTCAATCTCTGCCATGATTGGTTCCTGTTCCTGTCAATCAGCCGCTCCGCTCTTTATCCAGGAGGCCCCCCCAACATCTGTTGAAGGAGCAGTCGGCTCCGTTAAAGCTGCTAAGTTAAAGCTAACCTTTGAGAGGGAGACTAGTTAACCTTAGTTAACCTCCATGTCCCTCCTAGTTCTCGCTGGTCCTCTGTGGACGCACTGCTGTGTTCAGAATAAACCATCTAAATGTGTCTCGCTGTAAATGTGGGTTTTCTGTCTGGTTTGTGACATTAAAGGCAGAAGGGATGAAGGAAGCTGCGGATCCTGATGCTGCTGGAACTCTAACGTCAGATGAAGGTTGAGCTGAGGCCTGCAGAGCTCTGAGGCTCCATGGTTTTCATCTGGGCTCCTGAGCAGATGTCTTGGTGCTGGGAGCCGCTCTGTGAAACGGCGTAACTCTCCGATGGGCGAACATTTCCATCCAGACTCCTCCTGACAGCTCGGCCCGCTGCTTCACATGTGAACCTAATAAAATCCTTTCCCTCAGGCTCTGGAGATTACTTTGCGTCTGTCTGCTGTCTCCTCTCACTGTGGTGCTCCTTCATCTAGCCCCCGCCCCGATGTGCACGCGCCCAGGAGACAGGATGCATTTCTGACAAAAGGCAAACGGTGTAATTAACCAGCAGACACGATAATGGCTGAAAGAGAAGAGACGCTGAAGGTGTTTTGGTGTGACTGGTTCAGACATCATTCCTTTTCTTCCAGGTGTGGGGCAGCCTGGCGGACAGATGGGCTCCTTTTATAACCTTTCCTTTGCAAACATCACACACTCATTCCTTCTTCATGTTAATCATAACCATCTGATGGCTTATTTAAAAAAATCATTTTTATTGGCCTGCTCTGACGCTGCCTCCTCATTAAAGAGAAACTCACGTCTCTGTGTTTATTATTCCATTATAATCCCAGACATGGACAACAGCCATGAGCTGGACGCCTCACAATATGACCATTCACTGCCTTCACGTTCACCAGCAGGCCTGTGATTAAGCTGTCAGCACGAATTTACTGCGAAAAATCTGGACCATTATGCTGCAGCGCTGAGAGCGCAGCTTGGTGGGGTTTGAACGTCGTCTGCAGACAACAACCATCGAAAGGCGCTCGGTTCTTCCTTTACTCAGACTGACCTTCATCCACGGCGACTTAAACACAAACGGTTATAGATACCAACCATTAAACAGCCGCAGTCCAGGCCTGTTCACAGGGGCGGATTTAGGAAATGTGGGGCCCTAGGCAAAGACAGGCAGGGGCCCCTCTGAATGGAGAAGACATAGAACAGCCCCATTCTCCAGATGTAGAAATGTTAATAGAATAGACATCCATTATCTGTTCTAGGTTGTGTCCCTCTCTTCTTGTCCCTTTTCTTCTTGTTTTCCTCTCTATGTTTTGTACTCAGCTGACTTTTCATGCTGTCTCTAAAGGAATGAAAGATTTTTTCCAAGCACTAAGCTCACTTAGCTGATTGCTCCTTCCTGTGTTTCCAAAAAGGCCAAAGTAAATAACCCAGTCCTTCTTTTCACTGTAGACAAGCCATGATCTGCTTATCTGTTCTCCATTTTTCATTTGGATGAAATAATAGCTGCATGAATCATGACAGCAGACAAGATAGAGGAGAGCAGGAGGCGGGGTTACCAATCTACTCGCTCTGGAGAGCAGAGTTCGCTGCTTTTAGATGTTGTCTCCAAAGTCTCCAGTAGCAGAAAAAAGTCTCTAGATTTGGCGCTAGGAGCTTTTTAGAAATCAAAGTGCTAGAGGGGTCTGAAAAGTGGCTAAATATAGCGACTAAAGCGCTAAGTTGGCAACACTGCTCTTTGCATGGTTTGTTTTCAAATGGTTTGCTGCTGTCTGTTTGGACCTTTCTGAACATGTGCAGCAAATGGACTGATCCAATATGGTGGACACTGAAGGGGGGGGGCTGAGACACACTTAATATTATCAGCGTTCTGATGGCATTTTAGCCAAAGGATTTTTATCAAAAACATAATTAATGTGAATAAATGAGGAATAGTTATATTAACCATACATGGAAACAGAGTTTTATGGGGCCCCCAGGAAGTTGGGGCCCTAGGCAGCTGCCTAGTATTGCCTGATGGTAAACATCCCCCCCCCCGGCGGTTCATCAGTCGTATGGAGGCTACTCTCCAGTGTGGAAGGAAACCCTTCCTCCTCCATGTAGCGACTCATGGCATCACTGCAGGCTTAGCAGATCTTCCTGAAGGACAGCAAGCAGGTTTTAGAAAGAGGTGGCGATGAGGAGGAATGGTTCATGCCTGAGGTGTCTGAAGGCTTTGAGCCAGGTGAAGAAGGAGGATGAAGAAGGTCGACCTTCAGCTCTTCAGAATCGCCTCCCTGGTTCCTCCATCTGCAACGAGTCGCTGTTTTCATGCAGATCTGTTTGCTGATGTTCTGGACAAACCTTCTTCCCTTTTTGTTTGGATATGACTTGTTGATAACTGAACTCATAACGTATTTCACTGCAGTTATGAGTTAAGTTGCAAATAAAGTTTTTCTCCCTGTCAGTGAAAAAATAAATGATCTTCCCCTGGTTTGATGGAGGTTCATCCTTTTTGTGAAGGCAAACAGTTAAATCAGTAGGACCCTCCTTTGACCCAACATCACCAGGAATAAATATAAAAATGTATACTGATTTAAGATAAGATAAGATAATCCTTTATTTGTCCCACAGTGGGGAAATTGCAGCGTTGCATCACAGTGAACAGTACAGTAGGAAAAAAAGAAGAATACAAAATATAAAAAATATTTAAAAATATTTAAAAAATATACATTAAGTTTATAGAGACAAGGCCATCACACTTGGTGTGAACAGTTAAATGGCTAAGGCTAAGGTTACAAACACTGGTATAGAGTGACAACAGTAAAGTTCTGTGCAAATGATTGATTGTATTAAATTATTGCAGAGTTAAATAAATATGAGTGAAGTATACAATAGATATGCAATAATAACAGGTAAAGTGACGGTGGACATATGGTTGATACGGAGCTAGCATTGTTTGGTGTTTAGTCGGTCTAACCCAGGGTTCGCCAAACTCTTTAAAGCAGCGAATCAGTCGTGTCCATGAGGTCCGCTGGACTGTTCTCCGAAATCAGCGGCTGGTCTATTTTTCACGCATCAACTTTTCATCAGTTTAGAGCAGAGCGGATCATCAGCTGATAGATAGAAAAATGGATCGATGGTTTTTTGAAGTTAAAGTTACCTGCTTCAGCACTGAGCCACCGGAAAACCTCATTTCATAGAACAAAATCACCATGAAATATTTATTATATAGGTGGAAAAACTCACCATTTCATAAGAAACGACTCATCAGATTTAAAGGAAAAGTTCATTCAGCAGGAATAATCAATGGATCATTATTTATACCTAAAACTAAAACGTTTGCTGTGATTTAATGAATTTATCGTTAATCAGTATAAAAAATTTTCATGATCACTGAGTCTGGGAGCGGCCATCTTTGCCCAAATCTAGTAGCCCCTCCCTCCTGCCATCTTCCGGCAGTGACGTCACGGAGCACTAAGCCTAGCACAATTCTCCCCGCTTTCCAAGCTAAATCAATGGGAACTACTAGACACATCTGCAATCAACAACAATTATTGAAGATTTCCAGAGGACTTCACCATTGAAATTCACCAG